TGATACAAATGCACGTGTCGAATTTTAATTTATGTGGCAGCCTTACAGTTAGGCGAAAATTATTTTTTGCTGCCTTTTTTTGTAGCTGTTAAAGAACAACTACCATTGGGCGCTATTTGGCAGCGGGCATTTTTTACATAATAATATCAACAAAACGCAACACGGCTTAAATTTTCCAGTTTTCCGTAAATCGAAAATCGTTATTTAAATAAAATAAAAAAAAATAAATAAAAAAAAAGGAAGAAATACTGATATAGTACACACATGAAGTCAGCACCACAACACGAAAACGTCGTCCAAACTATCAAAAACCAAACAAGTAAAATTATTCTTAACAACAAAAAACCCCCTAGGGATGACGGAGAAAGCGGTCGTTATGTTACCTTTTGGTTCACTAAGCAGCCAGGGGTTCTTACCTACCAACAAAATGATCTCACAAGGTCAGGCCAATGCTTGACATGCACCTTTAAAACAAACCAACAAACGTACTTAGTTCTCACCATGGATTGAATAAGAGCTCTAGAAAAAATGTGACACCAGAAACGGAAGAAATAACAAAAGAAAACACCAGAAAACGTCCTCTAAGCTAAACAACTGCGTACCGGAAAACTTAGAACAAAAATAGTCCTCCTTCGCGTCTGGTCGCCGACTCAGGACAATCACTTGGTTGAATCATTTAAGCAACCAGGGAGAGTTCATGTCCTTCGTCTGAACTTATCAACCAAGGTTAACAAAAAGGCAAGACTAGAGTTTAAAGGAAATACTTACTATTTTACTGTGCAGCAACGTGTAGTAACGGCGGTAGCTCGGTGAGACGATCCCCGGGTGCAGTAAAGATGTTGTCCCACTAAGTTGACTCTGCACGGGGTTTTTCAGGTAGATCCCTTGCGTCACGTCGTTCCTTTAAAGGGTACAAACTCAAACTGCCTTCCCAAGCTCCCTTTTCCGAGCTCTTCTCCAGTGAGACCCTATTCCCGGACCACCGCTAACCACCACGTTACCGCTGTAAGTCCCTTACGAATTCAGTCCTCACGCATTCCCCAAGCTAATTCCCCCCCCCCTGACACTATCGTCCACACATACATATAAGGTACTCCCTACATGTGTACTCTCACTGGCCGTCTAGTGTACTTTAACTGGACTGCAGTGATAGTGGTGATTGCGGCTGCCGTTGTTGCAACAGTTAATGCTCCTGTAGCTGTTTTAGCTGTTGTTATTGCTGTAGCTATTGTTGCTGCTGTAGCTGTGATAGCTGCAAACGTGCTGACGTACTCTTTGAGTCGATTCTTGTAACGCTCAAGGGTAAAAATGCTTAAGTAGTACATTTTTTCGCCTTCCGGTTGGCGCAGTGTCTCTAGAACAAATCTCGAAGCCAATCCTAAAGCGATGTTACTATTGACGAGGACACGATTGTATATACTGCCAAATAGTTAAGTAGTAATGTGCAGCTCTTTGTCAGGGTACTGGATAAAAACGCGATACTCTTTGGAGAGATAACGCAACACGCATCCTTAAGCGTCGCTCAGTGGACCTTTTTCGAACTTTTTTTTTCAAAATCTAATATCTCATGAACGAAATAAGATATTGACACGATTCAAAATAGAAATTGAAGCTTTTGGGCATAAAAATAAAGGAAAAATATTAGGAAGTTATGAGAATTACATGTTACAGTGTACCGTCTATTTAAAGTTGGTGCTCTGATGGAAAAGTCCTAATATTATGATACTAATTAGCTTGTAAGAATAGCAGACGATACATACAAATATACAAAGCATATATTTTTTTGTATTTTTTGCTGCACTATCTTAATTTCACTCTTACAGCGTTATATAAATCAAACATAACCTCAAAATTTTAATTTTACTTAAAAAAATCGATTTCTTAGTATTGAAACTTGTGTTTATTGTGTTTATACTACTAGTATAATGAAAAAAAATACTAGTCAAGACTTTCAATATAGTAATCTAGTGCATACATTAGAAATGACTTCAAATTACGCTGTCTTGGAAAAATAGGACATCGACATAACCTCAAAATTTTAATTTTACTTCGAAATATCGATTTTTTAGTATTAAAACTTGTGTTCATCATTAGTATCATAGAAAAAGTACTGTTCAAGACTCTTACTGCAGTAATCTAGTGCATACATTGAAAGTGTCTTTAAATTACGCTGTCTTAGAAAAATAAGACATCGACATAACCTAAAAAAAAAAAAAGAAAAAAAAAGAAAATCGACTTTTAGTTTTGATTCTTACCTATAGTGTCACTTCGATGTAACAAAATTGCGATTTACAAATACAATGCATAAAATACTGTATAATGTAACTACAAGCTAATTAGTATCATAATATTAAGACTTTTCCATCAGAGCACCAACTTTAAATAGACGGTACACTGTAACATGTAATTCTCATAACTTCTTAATAGTCTTCCTTTATTCCTATGCCCAAAAGCTTCAATTTCCATTTTGAATCGTGTCAATATCTTATTTCGTTCATGAGATATTAGATTTTGGAAAAAAAAATTCGAAAAAAGTCCACTGTGCGTCGTGACTCCACCTGTTTGTCGAATCCTGAAATTTTTCAAGCATGTTAAGTACTTCGTCCATTGACAGAATTAAATTAGGCTAATGATTTCACATAAGTTAAAAATAGCTATTAGCTTTATTTTTGACTTTTGTAGTGAGCGTGAGAGTTGCTTCAGAAAACAGATTGGTGATTTCTCAACTGCGTTACTTCTAAATTGCCGTTAGTGAAACTAGTCTGTTTAAGTCACCGATAACGTTAACGTGTCGTAGAATCACAGCCGATAAACCTTGAGTACCCATCGGGCCTGAATGCAACTTCGATGGCAGTAGTAGTACTTGGAATGGCGTCGAGGTTGATCCTATCAGTCGTGATGGTAAGTCTGAATTTGATACCAGAGGACCTAACATTGCTTGAATGTTGAAGACCGATTTGCTAAGTGGACCAAAGTTTGAGTTCAGATTTATTGACGCTAGGCTGGAGTTTACATTTGACAGAGTTTACTTTCTTTGTTGGAAAAAGCTGTTATAAACAGTAATTTATTCATTTTTTATTATTGAATTAATTTTTGTATTGATTACTTTCAACTTCTTCACTTACCTGTCTACCCAACGGACTGAAAGTGTCGATACTTCTGTGTTTTATGACAGGTGGTGGTAGCCTACCAATAAATTCCTGTTTGCTTAGCATTAAACTGCGTATAATAATAATATTGCGTTAAGTTGTGATCCTACAAAACGAAAGATATGTTTTCACTTGATAGTTAAACAAATATTTTTACGAAAAAAAAAAATTAAACGGATTGTTGGAAGGAAAAACATAACTCACTCATTACAAGTCTGCAGGCCGTTTATATCGTTTTTAGTGTTTCTGTTGGCGATTAGGGACATTGGGAGCACTAACGACATCATCAGATTCTGGCTACCCAAATCCGTCAGGCTTTTGTGAAAATTTTACTACGCTACTAGTAGGGCCGTAGCCTAGGTTCATTATTAGTTCGGAGTAATTAGTACTGTCATAAGGTAAAACAAAACAAAACATTATACAATAATAATTTGTTCTGGTACTCTAGGAATTCAATTAAACGCGAAGTTGTCAGACGACCGTACCAATTCATTGGCAGCCATGTTATGGAAGACCACCTGCATTAGAAGAAAAAGGTTTATTGCTTTTTCTTTCGCAATGATGGAGACAAATTCTTCTTGACAATACTTACATTTTTACGATTTAAGGGATAATCAATGGCAAAGCAAATGGTTGAAATAAATGATGGCTTGCTTAAAATCTTAATGCACTTCTGTTACAACAGCTGCACTCGACATCAGTTTATAATTCCGATTGTTTCTAATTCATAAAAATATGTTACGGCATAAATTTAGTACTGTACAATCGAATCTTATTATTATATCATCCTAAAGTAACCAACTGGTGCATGGTTGGCAGCAAAAAATAGCAATAGTTTTATTTTAATAAAAGTCAAATTTCATGTAATGTAAGAATTATTCACACATTTCTTACTCATTTTAATATTCTTTAAGTAATCTTGAGGTCTTTTAAATAAGGAGTGTAATTTCTTGATTTCTAAATTTTTTATTTGTCTTTAGGGCTGACTTAGAATATGAGCTTTGAGTTCTGTTACACTGAATGGTCTCTTTTTTACTTTCATATATTTCAGAGCAACTGCAAATCATTTTTTATAATGTTTCTTGCAGTCTTTTGAAAAGCCAAATTTCACTGTCAAATGAAAACTTCTTTTATCACGAAGTTGCATTGAAGACTTGTTATGCTTCCTTATATATTACAAATATTTATTTTTATCATTAAGTTGTGTTGACAATGTAGTTAAATGTGTGATAATAATGGACAAACATAACCATTACTGACAACCTTAAATACTCTTGGTATATGTCAAAGGGTGCAGACGATATGAAGGAGTGTAAGCGTCGATAACATCATTTCGTAGTAAAAACGAGCAATCGTACTTGTATGTCTCGATCGTTCTGAACTGTGCTGCTCACTACCAAAAGCACCAAGTCAGTTTGATTAGGACATTAGGAATAGTTTGCTATGCAGCTTCGGCCATGAATACCCGGGAAATGTAGACCTAGATGAAGTGTTTCCAGCAGAACAAGACATTTTACCTTAGTTTTTTGCGCAATACATATCCTACCTCTTTCCTCTTTGTATTTAATGTAATGTTGTATAAGTTATTATATTTTTAATACTCTTCACATATTTTTCATCAATGTTTCATTTTCTTATTTGATATTTAATTACTTTATTAGCCTTTTTTTTATTGTAAATGCAAAGTTAAGGTGCAACTTGAACATCTAATTTATAAAGAATGTTTTTATTTATAATAATGTTTTTTTGTTTTGGCATCATACTTTTTCCAATGATTTATCAGTCGTCTGTAAAATATTTTTTTTGCTTATCACAAGTGAATAATGACTTAGATTACTGATTTGTTCGTAGGAAGATTCTAGTGGTGGCCAGGCAGAAGAATTGGGGCTTGCTAATGTTGGAGGAATTTTTCTCGTACTTGTTGTTGGTGTCGCACTTTCATTTGTTTGTACAACTTCTGAATTTTTGTACAGTCTAATAATGGATATAAGAGCCAAACAGGTGCGTTCAATTTTTTCAAGTTTTTTCTTTGGTGTTTCAACAGAATGATGCTATCAATTATTTTGAGAACTTTATATACGTACTTATTTAAAAATCATTTCTGTAGACTGATTTAGTACTACTAGGTATAAAAATCTTGCATAAAAATACATGTTGTGGTCTTATCCCTAGCACTACGTTTTTTTGAGGATTTAGCTTATTTAAAGATATTATTGCAATAAATAACTTCTTATAATTTTTTACTTTTATGTTCTTACCAGTATTAGCTTACTGATTTTTGAATTTCAATTTAAATCTCTTTTTTTTTAGTAGTGACGTAATTAGAGAAATATTCTTAACGAATCGTAATACGAAAAAAATGTCACTATTATTAAAGTTTATATTATATTGTTACTAAAATCTCCATTCTACAATACTTAGGGCTATAAAAGAATCTAAACCTTTTTGGAAGTAATAAAATTAATTAACTACAACGTTAACGTAAATTTTGTTACATTTTTAAGCTGTTATTGTAAAAGTCAAGCTTAATGGTAAAACAGCAAGACTAAAAAACGTGTAAATTTCAAATACGAAACGATTACTCACATCATTTTAAAGTAATCAGTTGGTAAAGTCGATAAGTAATTAATTCTTTAATTCTCTAAAGTATAGCTTTAATACGTATATTTGTGGGTACGTTTGTACTTATTATTAGGCATGCTGTTGGCTGGTATTTACCGAAATTCACAAAAGCAAGCACAATGCATCTTTGAAACTATAAAATAAAAGTAGTAAGTACTTAGTTTTCAGATAGCTTTTACACTAGACAATGCTGGTACATCTGGGGACTGACTAATAACTTACTAATGAAAAACACAATTTGCAGATTCAGAATAACGAAACATGTTATTAACGTATCGTAATGTATATTGAAAAGAGTAAATATGAATAGTTCTATTGTAAAAAACACGTCTTACATTGTTTTAGAGCACAGCAAATAAAAACTTCGGTGTTTATAAGATACAGTGTGAGATCTTGCAACTGCGTGTGCGCAAACAGCAGCTAACCAACGAGTTTTAGTAGTAGAAGTTAATTAAGTTATGGAAAACTAATAATTGTTAAAAAACTGCCAATGTTAACTTGAAACCTTATAATTTATATTTTTTGTAAAAATTGATTCTTCCCAACTTTATCAAATTTATTATATTATCAAATAGGACATAACTTAGTTTATGATTAAATTTTTTTTTTTTAATTTAAATATTACAAAAATTGAAGATTTTAATTAATATTCACATTATTTAAGCTTTGATGACTAAATTAAAAACCAAGAATAAATTGAACAGATAACGTATGATAAAGTCCTTTACTAGGACGTAAGATAAAGAGACGAATAAAATACGCTACATTTGAATTACGTAAGATATAAATTCAAACAGTACACTGGGGAAAAAGTGGGCCAACAGTGCTACTAAAAGTAGCTTTAGTGATACCCCTATACTGGCACTGTTCAGAAATAATGTGTTGGTTGAGTATTGAGTTGGTACCTACGCCCACCCATAGATAACTAACCAAGCGCACGTTTGCATATGTAAACGAAGTTAATGAGGTATTTGTTGTTTTGGAGCAAGTCAGTTGTGATTTTTTTTTACTTTTATAGTCACAATGCAAAAAAGCTGTTAAATATTTCAGTAGTACACGAATAAATAATGGATAATTAAGTGTCACAACTAACAACAATCAGCTGATTTATCAGCTGACAAATCAGCTAATTTCTAATGCCAAGTCATCAGCTGATTTTTTGACTGTGCGAAAACATACAAGTCCTAAGAGTCCCAAGTCCGAGGGAAAATTTTTTTTTTGGCCATCATCAAACCTATGCATTCTGGAAGTTAAACAGTAGAATAAGATAGGTGACACTTGTGAGTTTGAAAAATTTTCTCGATAGCCAAATGTTGGAAATGAGAGCAATCGACAGTAGGCCCGACTTTTGTGTACATTGTGTACACTTGTAGTCTCTGTCAGCCCAACGCTCTGTGCGTGGGTGCTTGGTCGACTTGGCGCGCTGCAGGTGTGTGTGTGCGTATTCACGCGACAAGCCTTGTATACTGTAAGCACCAGATTATACTTAGCTCTCATCGAAGACAGACTCTCTATATTTACAGTGATTGTTGTACTGCTCCAGTGATTGTTGGAGCCAAACTCATCATTCAGGAAATGTGGCTACTCAAAATTACATGGGATACACCCATACCAGATGCTCTCGCTCAGAGGTGGCTACAAATATGAGGTGATCTAGCCAAACTCTCCGGAGTGACGGTTCCTAGATGGCTTGGAGCACATCCTTCTTCTGCAATGGAACTCTATGGCTTTGCTGATGCGTCTCAGGATACTATGGGTGCTGTGATTTACCTAGTGATAAAGTCAGACTCAGCCACGTCAAGCTCATTCGTCTGCTCTAAGACGGAAGTATCACCACTGAAGAGGATGTCAATACCAAGATTAGAATTGACAGCAGCTCTCATCCTGGCTAAACTCACTAAGTATGTCACCAACCAACTCACACTCAATATCAGCAACATTCACTTATGGACAGATTCGTCAGTCACACTCTATTGGATTTCTTCTCATCCAAATAAGTGGAAAGATTTCGTCAGGAATCAAGTTACAGCAATTCAGGATCTGGTCCCTGCAGCACATTGCAGACATGTCCCTGGAAAGGAGAATCCTGTTGACTGTGCTTCGAGAGGGATTCTCACTTCACAATTGATTGAGCATAGGCTCTGGTGGCATGGACCAGAGTGGATGATACAACCCCAGGATGGTTGGCCTCTGCAGCCAAGTAACGTCAAGGTGGAGGATGAGACAGAGGCGCGTCAGGCGTCAGCATTGGTGTCATCAGTCCTTGACTCGAAGTTCCTAGTCAGGCTCACTCAGTCCAGCTCCACATTGCACAAACTTTATCGTATCACAGCCACCCTCTTACTTGTTTGTGCCAAGTTCAAAGCCTTACTTTCACACCAGGAATCATCCGTAGCTGTCACTACAGAACTCATCACTCAAGCTAAGCTCTTACTCATCAGATTAACTCAACAGGAATGTTTCAAGGAGAAAATCAAGATGCTCAAATCAGGTTATCTCCCAAAGGGCCATGTTTTCCACCGGTTGATGGCATATACTGATGATGCTGGCATTCTGCGTGTGGGAGGCAGACTCATGAATGCCAAGCTCAGACCTGATGCGAAACATCCTGCCCTACTTCCTCGTCAAGCTCAATTCACCAGTTTGGTTATCGATCAGGCTCATCAGCAAACTCTACACGGAGAAACTCAGCTCACTCTTAGCAAAACTCGTCAAGAGTTTTGGATAATCGGTGGAAGGGCCCCCATCCGATCCAGAATCCTCTACTGTGTCATATGTGCCAGGTACCGGGCACAAAGAGCACAACAACTCATGGGACAGTTATCCGAGGCTAGGGTGACTCCCTACAGACCGTTTGCTCACACAGGTATCGACTACGCAGGTCTGATACATCTCAAATCTTGGCGCGGCAGAGGGTCGAAGACATACAAGGGTTGGATGTGTGTGTTCGTATGTTTTTTGACCTCTGCTGTGCATCTCGAATCAGTGACAGATTACTCTACCGAAGGATTCTTGTCAGCGTATTGGCGATTTGTCTCACGTCGGGGACGTCCATTTAAGTTGTATTCTGATTGTGGGACGAACTTTGTTGGTGCAGACAGGGCTCTTCAACAGTTATACTCAGAAGCAATCAGTCAAAATTCTCATCTATCAGCCATGCTCGCCCAAGATGGAGCGTCATGGCACTTTAACCCTCCAGCTGCTCCTCACATGGGAGGTAAATGGGAGGCAGTAGTGAAGTCGATGAAACACCATCTCCATCGGACTATAGGAGAGACTCTTTACACGCTTGAAGAGATCACGACGTTGCTCACTCAAATCGAAGCAATACTTAACTCTAGACCACTAGAACCACTTACCAATGATCCAGAGAATTTAGACACGCTCACTCCAGGACACTTCTTAGTCGGATCGGCGCTAAACTTACCACCAGAGCCGTGCTTGTTGGATTCACCTCCAGCAAGGCTCACTCGCTGGCAGCTGATCCAAGCTCAAAAACAAAGGTTTTGGAAGCAGTGGTCTACACAGTACTTGCATAGATTAAAATTAATCTCCAAGTGGCATACTCCAGCTCATGACATCAAGACAGGCTCATTGGAGCTTATAACTGGTGAGACTCTACCACCAGGAAAGTGGCCGCTGGCCAGAGTCGTCGACGTTCACCCAGGCAAGGATGGCCTGGTTAGAGTGGTGACTCTCAAGACCTCAGTGGGCACGCTCAGGAGACCCATTTACAAGCTGGTGCCACTGCCGGTCTACGGCTATTGTCAGCCGTTGACTGACGGCGGGCGGAATGTTGGAAATGAGAGCGACCGACAGTAGACCCAGCTTTTGTGTACGTTGTGCACACTTGTAGTCTCTGTCGGCCCAACGCTTGGTGCGTGTACGCTTGGTTGACTTGGCGCGCTGCAGGTGTGTGTGTGCGTATTCACGTGGCGAGCCTTGTATACTGTAAGCGCCAGATTTTACTCAGCTCTCGTTGAAGATAGACTCTCTTAATTTACGTTGCCAAACTCTAGCATTCAAAGCTGCATACATCACCTTAAATGCTAGTGTAAATCGTCTGATTAACTCTCTCAATACAGTGGACAAAACTCAGTTGTGCAGGGCATTGCACTTAGTGCTTTGTTTAAGTTGCTCACTGCATAATCTGCAGACCAGCTCAAATAGTTAATCTCATTGAACTACCAGTGATTGTCAACAGCAAGATTCAGTGAAACTCTTGTGTATTTCTACAGACAGTTATTGTGTATTTCTACAGACAATCGTTTTTCGTTAATTAATATTTCAATCAGTTATATTATATCAGTGCTTTCATTTTAACATTTATTCGTGTAACTTTCAAACTCTCTTGCTAGCTCAAGGCCAGTGTGTGTTTA